TATATATATATATACACACACACACACACAAATACATATGTATATGTATATGCATATGTATACAAAACACATTTTTAAGAAACAAAAATATTAAAACAAAGGAGTCCCACATAAGCCTGACATGTGAGAAAAGAAGGGGCCATAAGAATATTTTGATCCAAGGAGGGGAATTCTTTGACAAGCTCAAAAAAACTAGTGCAAAATAAGATACTTTCTTAACCTATGGAGTATATTAACAATAGGTTTATAAATGAATCAATTCACTTTACGAACAACTCGACTTCAATTGAATATTAAAAAAAATTAAGTAATCCAAATATGAACATAAATGTGAACTCGGCTTAAGCTCGAACTAAACATGATCATAAAATTAGACAAAGCAAAGTCCAACATATGATACTCGACTGGACTCGGCTCGGCTTGGCTCGATTACAAACCTAATTAATAGGGAAACTCACTAAGAAGGAAAATATGCAGATACGGAATGGGGCATTTACATGCACACTATCCAATTCTTATGTATTTGCATGCTTAACACCTAAACTTTATTTTTTACATGTATACCACCCAAATATGTCTTAACATAGAAAATACCACCATTTGAATTTTTACAGTGAAATAAACAATTCCATGCATAAGTCATGTGGCATGTATGTAAAAATTGAAGTTTAGGTGACAGGAATGTAAATACATAGGAATTATGTGGTATGTATGTAATTTTCCTAAACAATTTCCACAAAACATACAAGAAAGTAGACATTTGAATATTTCAAATCAGTAAAAATAGCAGAAAAATGCTGAGTAACATTCAAACCTGGAAAATTGCTTCCAGGTGAGTCAAAGTAGTGAAACAAATTACTTAATTACATTGATGGAATGACTAATTAAGGTGAGTTAAGCCAACCACACCTGCACATAAAATCATCAAAATTAACCAGAAAAACCTTGCATAGTAAGCCAATATGAATGAATAAGCTGAAATATTCAATGAGAAAGCTATGGGCTCACCACATGCCAATCTTCCTCCTGCATTTCCAGTGCTCAGACTGAGCTCTTTCCCACCTAATGGCATTATGCGAGAAATATCAGGTGCAAACTAGAAAATTTCGAGAAAAAATCAAGAGGAAATTGATAAAAGCAGAGTTTGATTGATATGAGATGTTAGTTAATTAAGTTATATTTTAATGGAGAAAATTCCATTAATGATATCTCGATTGAAAATTGATCAAAATGATATCAAGATCATTATATTAGGTTTGAAATGCTTCCAATATATATGTGGAAAACTTACAAACATACCATCCATTATACAAAAACACGAATGATATCTCGATTGAAAATTGATCAAAATGATATTAAGATCATTATATTAGGTTTGAAATGCTTCCATTATATAATTGGAAAACTTACAAACATACCATCCTTTATACAAAAACACGGGCATGTAGGAATTTTCACTAAATTTCTATTACTAAATCGAATCCACCTGCTAAAAAGGTTGAATCAAGCTCACAAAAGGAAATGGCTGAATCTAGTTTGTCTGTCGGCCTGATCTTTCTCATCTTCCTCAAAAGGAAAACCTAACCCACTTATAGAAGGAAAGCTATTGGAAGAAGCTATCATGACTATAAAAAAGTCATTATGACATAAATATCAATCATTCCCTTATTAAAGATGGCTTCCGGCACTTGTACTCACTCTTTTCATTCAGGTACCAGAGATGGTGGCTGAAACCTGACATCCATGTCAAAGTCTTTCATTCAAGATATTGGAAGAAGGCGACATACAGTACAAACTGAACTATATCAATTATTTCATTTTATTTATTTTCTCCCTTATATATAAAAGGGGAGGGAAAATGAAGAGGAGGATGGCTCCTAGTCTCTCTTTCCTGTATGGAGATCACTTTTCACACCCATTTTTTATTTTTTCCTCTCTACAATCCTATAACTTAGGAAACCTCCGAGGAACCAGCCTCCCTCTCACTTGCCAGAGATCGGGATTTAATATATTTCTTAAGGTTCCCTCAAAAGACTATCATCCATCTCCCTCTCTCTATCATTCTCTCTACGATACAAGGACTTTTACAGAGTTGTATGTACTCAAGAATGATACGAGACCCTACGACTCAAAAGGATTCAATTTCCTGAAAGGTGCGATGAGCAGGGAGTTCAAGCATAAACTCTACAAAAAAATACCATTTTCATCTGGAGAACGTCGTTAGAGAACGATGGATAGTACTAGAGAGTTCGTGACTCAACAAATCAATGAGTTCAGAGAGATAATGAGAAAGGAAACGCATGACATGAGGGAAGGTTCTCGAATTCATTCTCGGACCAGAATGTATAGCTGGTCGTCAAGATCAGTAAACCACAACCAAGACCTGTTGAGGATAACATCTACATCGCAACAAGAATTATTACGAAAAAAGATACCGAGACAGGAACTGGCGAGGCGAGAGCCGCATGCCAAGGATTCACCAAGAACAGGAGTAAAAAGTGCTCTCGACCCAATCTTCAAACTAAAAAGATTACACATGGACAATTTCGATCATTCAGATAGACTTGTTGTAGATTAAATTAAAGAAGAAAGAAGAAAACATAAGTTTTCTCTTAACTACTATGAAGAAGAAGAAATGAGAGGAAGGAGAGGACAGAGATTGATGAAAACCTCCTCTCAAGAGAGATTTAGAAAGTCGAGGCGTCGAGAAATCTTACAAAACAAAATTTGACCCCACCGACCACTTGGCTTTTTTTGAATCAGTTGTATGTTTACTCAGAATAAACGACTCATTGACATGTTTAATTTTCATGACATTGAAAGAAGCAGCCCTACGCTAGTTCGACCACCTACCGCATGAGTCATTACCTCGTTCTGCATATTCAAGAAAATGTTTGTGACTCAATTTGCCAGTGCACAAAAGCCTCCAAAAAGCTCGCAATCACTCCTTAAAATGCATCAGGAGCCCACCGAAAGCTTGAGGAGCTTCATCACTTATTTTCAATGTGAATTGTTGGACGTCCAAGGCCTTGAGTTGGCTGTCACTCACGTAGCTTTGGCCCAAGGCCTGTGTGAAGGGCCATTTTGACACGCTCTTGGCTTACAAAAGCCAATTGGTAGAGCTCTTGGAGCTCGCAAATAGCCACATCTCTGCAAAAGAGTATAATTCTTGACCTAAACCCTTATGACTATCAAAATCCAGAAAGAGATATCAGAACCAATCACGTGATGATCGTCGAGACTAGTAAAGTCATTACAGGAAGATGAAGTCCAGTAACACCCATGACAAACACACCTGTCTAGATCAAAGAAGTACGAAGGAGAGATTGGTTAGAAGGAAACCAGAAAAGGCTTAGGAGCTGCTCTAGCTCCCCCCTCCTTCTGCCGAAATAGCATCACAAAGGGTTTCAATGGCCAAAGTTGTAGAGGACATTCAGAATAGAATGTTTCAGAAAGTCATTTCCCTTTTAAACTAGCACACATGCCCGTGATCCTAATCGATACTGCAAACAAAAAATTTTGATAAAAATCCACAAGGAAAACTATCAAATGATATTAAGATCATTAGATTAGCTTTGAGATGCTTGCAATATATAATTGAAAAATATACCATTCAATTCTTATGTATTTACATAACTTACACCTAAAGTTTGATAGTTATATACATAGCACTTTGTTGGCATACAACAAGAAGTGAAACCAAAAATTGTTCTAGTGGGGGTAAAGATTAATATTTTGAAATATTCGGGTGACTTATTTATCCCGACTTTATTAGAACCAATATTAACATTAACGCTTATTATTCTTTGGAATATTTACATTCATACCATACAATTCCTATGTATTTACATATCTAATGCCTAAACTTTCATTTTTACATACATGCCACCTTACCTTTTCATGAAAATGTATATTTCACATTTTTAAATCTAAAATGGTGCTATTTTATATGTGATACAAAAATTTTGGGTGATATAAATGTAACAAGTAAAATCTAAGTGTTAGATATCTGAGTACATAGGAATTGGGTGATATGTATGTAAATGCCCCTGTTTTTCTTTTGGACATATATATTATAATAATTATAACTATATGCTCATAAAAAATTATAAAAAATGAAGGTTATCTATATTTTTTAACTCAATATGCTTAGTTCATATGATTATCTTTTATATCCAGATACTACACATTTACTTATTTATAATACTATTTAATAACCATATTTTTAGAGTATTAATTTATTGTAATTTTTTTTCATATTATAAATTATAAAATAAGCGTGGGGACTTATAAAATGTTCCTATGAATAAAGCCAATTACACTTCAGTCACTTACAGCAACAATGGCCCCAAGGAAAAAACATAATTTATATCAAGCTTTTAGGGCTGTAGGGACTGTTGGCTGCTGTAGTTACAATAATTGTGTGCATGCCTAATGAAAAAAAAAAACTTTGTTTATTGGGCTAATCAAGTACGGGACACAGGGCACAGTCCCCAGTGCCCCCACAATAGCACATGAAGAGTTGTATTTATCTTTTAAAAGTCAGTAATGGTGATATTTTTAATGTGATGATAAGAATTTGAGCGTTATGCATATAAATATAAAAATTCAGTGTTAGATATGTAAATACATAAAAATTGTGTGGTATGTATGTAAATGGGCCTATATAATTAATCAAATCAAAATTTATGTGGTACTCATTTCAAAGTAAATCCAGTCATCAATTTAGATCATGATCTTTAAAGCCAAATTTTCTTGTGTTTTAATACTCACCCTTCCCGAGATCATCTTCAAGCTCATGAACTACCAAGGATCTTCCAATGACAGCAGTAGGTCCACTCAACGGAATCTAAAACGATTTAATAAACATGTCATACAAATAACCATAAAGGAAAGCATTACAAATTGCGTAATTGTTTTTGCATATATATATATATATATAGAGAGAGAGAGAGAGAGAGAGAGAGAGAGAGAGAGAGAGAGAGAGAGAGAGAGAGAGAGAGAGAATGTTAACTCTGGTTAATTAAGTGGTAGGTAGAAAAGGGTTAAAGGTAAAATTAAGGTCATAAACTTAACTTGTGCATCCACGATTGTTGTCTCAGCCACACCTGCATGAAAAAAATAGAAGCAATATAACTTCTTTCTTATTTTATGTGCAATAATAAAGGGGGAAAATATAAAGAGTATTTCAAAGATTATACCATCAGCGTTAGCAATTATGTTTCCAAGATCACCAGCATGGCGAATATTGTCCTCAGGTGCCCCATGTGTCATCTTATTAGGGTTAAAATGCGAGCCTTCAAAAAAAAAATAATAACAATTAAATAAATGGGGCATTTAGATACATACCGCCCAATTCCCATGTATACACATATCTAACACCCAAAGTAAATATTACATAAAAAAGACCACTATTTTAACTTCTACAAAGTGAAATACACATTTTCATACAAAGATAAGGTAAGCATATATGTAAAAATTGAGGTTTAGGTGTTAGATATGTAAAAACATAGGAATTGAGGGGCATGTATGTAAGTCTCCCTAAATAAATAAATGTCTATATATATATAGCCTTCTGTTGAAGATCATTATAATTAAGGGTTTAGTTCCAAAAATAATTATAATATTGGAAAATTTTCCGGTTCAAAATATTAAAAATTTGCATTTTATACACAAGAGACACAGTTTGAAATCTAACAACTAATTTGCTTCCTACACGAAAAAATTGGTTTCCTCACAACATCTTAACAGCTAATTTTACAAATAGCTACAATCAACTCAATTAAACACTTAGCTACACTTTAATATCAATAGTAGATTTATACCAAATAACTAAGGCTTTATTTGAATAGAAGACAAATGAAGAAAATAAAACAATTTATGGGATGATTATCGATTCGCAATGAAAGACTTAAGCTTCTCAACATTTCTTTTATATTTTCATTATCCAAACAAGCTTGAGAGTTGTTCAGTTCTACCTGTGGAAATGCATCCATTACTAATATCACCATAATCATGCTGCATGACAGAATTCAGTAATATGTTTTTTTCATTAGCCAATAGTATAAATTAACAGATGAGAGAGCACGAAAAAGATACAGAAGCTTCTTACAATGTGGAAGCCATGAGGTCCAGGACTTAGTCCACTAACACGAACCTTCAGAATTGTGGGACTTGCTAAAAGACAGAATTACCCATATGTAAAAATAATAGAATATGCATAAATATTTGAAAAAAATAAATATGAAGGCAATTAAGAGAACTTGATGTTATTGAAATTTTTAAACAAAATTCATATGCCAAGATAGTAGTAATTTTGGGCAAAGCCTTTTCTAGTCAAACCTTTATTTTTTATTTGGAAGATAGCATACATACTACTTAATTCCAATGTATTTACATATCTAACATCTAAACTTCGATTTTTACATGTCACCTTGCCTATGCATATAAAGGTGTATTTCCTTTTTTTTAAGTTAAATAGTGATATTTTTTATGAGTAAACTTTAGATGTTAGATATGTAAATACATAAGAATTTGGTAGTGTGTGTATATATATATTATATATATATATATATATATATATATGTAAATGCTCTTTTTAATTTTTATTTCTTATCTCGTGCAGAAAAGAACTTATGGAGAGGGATGATGGGCTACCCTTGATATGAAAAATGGAAAATGGCACATAATGACAAGATAATAATATCACTCCTAAAATCAATATCATAAATGGAGATGCAAATAATATTGTTAGGGAACTCACCAAAGAAATCTAATAAGAAAAAGCCGTTATGCTTCACCTTTTATTGCATACAAGCAATATGTTGCATGTTTTCAACCAAACATAATATTTTTGTACAACTCACTCTATATTTATAAGCATTAAAATACATATTATTGTATAATTTTATGGTGCAAAAAAAGAAGTCTAAAATTTTCATGATTTAATTGCAATGAAGAGAACCTGAATTATAAATCATCAAAAACTTACTTCCTTAAATTAGAGTCTTGATGAAAGATAAAGAGAAAGAGGAAGAAGTTTTATACATTTTTCCTTGCAGTAATTTATTTATTGTGTATTCTAACAACTAGTATAGCATTAGAATATTGATTGATAAATTTTTAAATGCAAGCATGGAGGACAATAAGATCATGAATGACAAGTTCAATGATCAAAACTTGTAAAGTGAAGTTTATTTCTGCTAGAGAAAGCTCATCAATTGCTAAAAGAGAGAAAGTCATGATCCACCAATCAAGAGTAGACACTGATGAAAAGGCAAGCACTGAAATTGCCTGCCTTCCCTAACCATGAATGTCTCTTTCAACATTCTAAATAAAATGACATTAATAGGAGTCATAAAGCACTCATATGTAAATAACCCTCTGCCATCAATAAGACATAGTTCATTAACAAGGGACAATAAAGTCAATATTTATGTCGGGATCAAGCAACTTTTGCACATTTTGACTCCCAAGGGTCTTGACCCCCTTCGACCATCAAAAGCAAAGTTAAGGAATAGGTGACATCACGATACCAACACATAATTAAATATGACTTTGGTACAAGAACCTTGATATGTCGAAAACCTTTCAGAAAAGGAGTGATGTTGAGAGATCTTATGTCAAGAAATGTTACTGAGACATGAAAGCCTTGGATTAGTCTAATGTTGACAAAGTATGTTGGTGTAAAAAAATTTATTATTAGCTCTTATCTATTAGCTTAAGCTTTTAAATTGAAATTAGATGAATATTGGTGGATTAAGTCCAACTTTAATCCTGCTTTGATTCAGGCTCTCTATAAGGATTGTTAAATTTATAGAGATAAAATATCTTCCTAAAATATCATTCTCCTAACATAGAATAAAATTCATCATTCTTGTAAATCCAAATTAAGACTTGATTTTTTTTCTAAGAAAATTTTTGAGAGAATATAGGTTTTTCATTATTAATACTTTGAGATATTTGAGATCATCTAATTTCTTAAATATGAGGTTAGGTGAATTTTTGTATTTTTATATTATCCCATGTATAAATACTACCCCCGGGTGATTTCTAAGTATTCTATACAAACTGCAAATCACAATAAAAGGATGAGAGGAAAGAATTAGTTGAAGAAAAACCAAGAGATGGATAAAGCACAATGGAGATAGGATTGTTTCCGTTTAAGAACTATACTAGACTTCAACCCCCCATCACCACAATAGAGTTTAACAGTTAATAAAAAGAATCAAGAAATTATTATAGGAAAAGGTTCTTGGCCTCACTACCAAGAGGAAGGATATATTTCAATCACTCTCTACAATAGATAGGTTTAAATTTTTCTCCTCTCTGATTTGAATGATCTTATGATGACTATAGCCGGTGTTTATTGAATTGTTTTATAAAAACAATAATTATTATTCATCTCTTATCTTGTAACACAAATATCTCCATATACTTTTTTAAAATTTTATTTAAACGTTTTATTTATATATGATATTGGATGTTGACAGATTTCACCAACCCATATAAATCTATATAAATTCACGGTTATGATTCTATAATTACTTTCTTCAGCTTCATATTATTGCTCATTGTTATTGGCTATTCTAACAACTAGCATAACATTAAATCTTTTATTGAGAAAGCTTTTATATCCAACTATGGAGGATGAGAATATCAAGAACAACAAGTTCAATGATCGAAACTTCGGATTCTAAAAATGTAGAATGAAGATTATCTTTACTAGAGAAACCTCATCAATTGCTAAAAGAGAGTTATAATCAATCAACCAAGAGAAAAAGTTGATAAAGAGGCAAGCACCAAAATTATTTTCTTCCCCAACCATGAATGTCTCCTTCACATTCTAAATGAAATGACATAATAAGAGTCATGAGATGCTCGCTATATGCAATAAAAAACCCCTCTTCCAAAAAGAAGGCATACATAATGCACACATTTTTCAATCTTAAAATGAATAAAGAAGCTTTAATCAATAGGCATATCATGATTGCAACTCAATCACAAGATAGGTGAACTCTCCAAATTTAAGTTTGAAGATGACATCATAAACATGCATTATTTTCACCCATAATCCAAAGGCAGATGATTTCTTGACACTCATAAGCAATTCCTACACATTGAAAACTATAATTTCAGCACTATTGGATATCTCATTCTTAGTGAGGAATTCTAGCAAAGTGAGAATGGTGAATATACACGAAAAATAAGGAAGATCTCTCTAGATCGAAAACAAAGAACTATAGTCAAAATCCAAAAAATTTAATCTATAATTTTATGGTACTTCGTATAATTATACAATATGTAAAAAGGGGAAGACCAAGGCGGGAATTATTTAAATGAAAAACTTTTTTTCAAAGCTATTTAACCACAAAAAATTGAGGATACATGATTGCAATAAAAGATTTCGTGAAGTTTTAATGGTTGCAGAGGTTTGAGATAGTTTCCAAATAAAGCTCTTTGGGGAGTTTGACCACTATTGTTTGAAGGGGTTTTATGAAAGGAATTTTCTTGTATTTCTTTTTTGTATTTTCCTCATTTTTTATGGCCCTCCATTTACCATTTTTATACTCACTAATTCAATGAAAAGTAACTTCATCTCTTAACAAAAGCTTGTGTCTACAAGTAGTTGAAGCCACCAGCTTTTAGTTTGATTTGTGACTCAAGAATTGCAAACCTTAATATATCTATTTTACTCTTCCTTCTTGGTATCCAATATCCCTATCACCTTTCCAAAGCTTTCAATCCTCATAAAAATTGAGCTATATATTTCTCACAAAACCCTGACTTCTTATATCTGCCATCTTATGACTAGTTTACCTTAACTCATAACTTCCTAATCACAGTTCATTTTGACAATTATCACATTTATTAATTAGCTTGCATCCTAAACCTTCTGATATGAAAGTCATTTTCCTCTTCCATCTAAGAAAACTTGACCACACATCGCAAGCACATTTTGGAAACCTTAGCCTTCCACCAACCCTAAGCCTTCAACCACCAATTTAACAACACTTGAAGCCTCATAATAACCAAAAATTTTAAAAAAAAATAAATAAATAAAATAGTGAGAGATAGAACAATTCAATTTAAGAAGCACAAAAATCACTATAGGAGACAACCTCATCTCAAAATTTCTCCATCAAGACTCCTCAACATCAAATTATATTGCTTCAAGAGGAACTATAATATTTCATCAACAAGACAACGTGACATCAAACAACTATTATTTTTCCTTAGTTATCACATTCTTTTACTTTGCTATAAATCTATGTTTAACAAAAATCTAAGATACTAGCATGCTATGTTAGCCATTCTGATATCAATATATTAGTTCTCAACAACACTTAAAAACTATTGCAATTTTATATTAGAACTTACCCCACCGCATGAGTTACATTTTTTAATATATAAAGTTAAAGTTATATTTTTGTATGTTTGCTATTGATTAATTAGTTGTAAGCATGATTATATTCAATTATAAAAATAAATAGCAAATACTTAAAAACTTCAAAAAAATTGAAGAATTTGTATTTTTTTTATTATATAAATACCATATCTTTCTTTTGTATAACCATTTTTTTGCAAGAAAATAAAAAGAATGCTCGAGTAGTTTTTACATTTGTAAGGCTAAAAGAGCCTTATCAAAATAAAAATAAAAATCAAAACTAAGAAGAGCTTAAAAATTAAGTGATATATGTTATGAAACCTGCACATGTGAAGGTCTTCTAGACGAGCATTATTGATCATACATGTTATAAAGTATTTTCTTTTATCTTGCGATTTTATCATTTTAATATTTTTAAAAGCACTTCACTGTGTAATGTGCATTTACAATCATGTATTTCCTTACATTACTAAAATACCCCTGTAGTAATTTAAATTTGAAACTTCTACATTAGACAACTTTCACAATATTTAAAAATTTTAGATTGGTCTTAAAAAAATAAAAAATTTCTATGATAGACATAATATGAATGACTTTTAAAAAATTGATATTTCAAATTTATAATTAATAAAAAAGGCCAAATTAAAATGACTTGTGAAAGGGAACATAGTTTTGGGAAAAAACTCTTAACATGGTGTTGACCTCATTTTTGTGAGATCTTTCCTTCCTCTTCATAGAGTCTAGGATCTAGCCATAGGACTTTCCTATCGACTATCTTAAAGGACTAAAA